ATAATGCGTGTGAGTTGGTTAACTTAAATCGATAGTAATATTGAGCCCAACTATTTGCAACGATTACATATAAATCAAGTAATAAAAATCAATAGAGGTGCACACCAATCGAGGGTGCGAATGAAATATTCCTTTCGGACACACACTTGATTATAACGCAAACATATGAGTGTACATTTATAATTTCTACATGATAATAGACATGTTTCTTCAAATTTACTTCGTGTAAGACGTGTGTGTGTGTGTGTGTGTGTGTGTGTATGTGTGTGTGTGTGTATCAATTATGTTATTGTGTAAGAAATATGCAGCTTACAATTAGTTTTACACCTTATATATTCCGGCTTTTTTCATAATATTTTTCATAATAATAATTTAATATAAAAGATCCACTTGCGTTTTCTCTCCTCTCTAATTTCTTTCTGTACTCAGCTTCCTTTTCTCTCTTCGTGCGCCGCGCCGGTGCGCCTATTATGAATTCTCCCTTTTTTGACACAAATAGAAAGAAGACATTTATGCCTACTATTTATCATAGTCTTAGCGGTGGCTTGGACGACAAGACTGCAGGTCTTCGTTGGTTGAGACCGGTGCTCCAGGCACACATTGTGGACATTTAATTCTCTACCATGTCTTTAATTTGCGATGAGATACGTGGTCACCATACTGATTTTTTTTTTGTACGCTTGCTAGAAATCTTTTTTTAAGCCTGCGGGAATGTAAATGTTCCGTAAATCAGAAGTTTATTTATTTCTGTTAAGGATTCTCCTGCATGAAAAAGATTCTTCTGGAGTACCTTCTCCTTGTGATTGGACCATCTCTTCGCGTGATTAAACAAATTATTAGTTTTTTCATAGTCTTGTCGATCCTCTGCGTACCTTTAACTAACTTTAGAAGACAATCTGAGAATGATGTTTCTGCTGCTAGTATGAAAAGGTTTATTTCCTGTTTCGTGTAGTATCGTTTGTGTGTCCTCATTTTCTATATTGTCCTTGAGTGAGGCACGTGTCTGGAGTGCATAACTTCCCGAAACATGTTTTAATGCGTAGGTAAATCTTATTAAGCACTTTCGAAATCTCTGCATGTAATCTCACTGATAATTCACTTAATGGCTTCTTCTCTAGAAGTAATACAAATAACGCTGATTTATGATCAGTACTCAACAAGTTCAAACTTGTGATTTGTTGGCGCTCGACCGCTTCCGTTTATCGAATTTTATAAGTAACTACTGTATCTAGTTTAAATCTGCTTGTAGTTGCAAAGTCTCGGAGAGTTTTAGATCACGAATGTCCACTACGATTCTATCTCTGATGAGTTCATCTTTCAAAGTTCCAAATTTGCATTGCATTGCACTTGGTCAAAACCTGTATAATTCCGCTCATCTCTTAAACTTTTTTATGACTTTCTTCGTAATTTTATATTTGCTGATCAAACAAATTTTTCTAAAACATTATATTGTCCGCTGTATCTCTTAATTATAATATAAATGAGCAGAATAACGCTTATCACCTAATCTTGACGACAAACCAAACACTTTTCTCTCCGATCGCTGTGATCAATTGCAGCCAATCTTCTACCTAAAATGAAAATGCTATTAATAGTTTAGGCTGATGTATGACAATTGCCTTTGTCGATTCCTATGTCGCCATAATATGTACTGTTTATTTTCGTACAATTACTTTCTCCTTCACTTTGCGGTTTTTAACTCGCTGCCACATGTGTTGTGTAAGAAATACACTCGTTGTAGTAACTGCATCAGAAATAGTAAATAACTTGACAAAAAGCACATCATCAGCATACATGTAAACTGATCGTGCATCAAGCGGCGCAGAAGAGAATTTAAAAAGCTCAGCATTAACGAATACGCAGAAGAGTAACGAATCTAGGATGTTTGAGGCAGAGATCGAAGAAGAAGAGAAAGAAAGAGGATTATAAAATTGAACACATTATAAATGACCGGTGAGCAAGAAGCAGATTAGTGATAGAGCAGGATTAGAGATTATGATTGATAGTGTCAAAAACTATTTAGGGTAGTCAAGAGCAATTAGAGCCAAAACAGAAGTATAATCAAAGGAATATGATCGACAAAAGAGCAATTGCTGTGTTGTGTATCTAGTGGAAACCATATTGAAAGGCAGGAATGACGTTTTCAATAAAAAAAAAACAAATTAATTAGCTATTTAAAACAGATGTATGTATTCAAGAAACTTGGAGAAGAAGGAATTGGAATCCCTCACAATACAAGAGACCACTCTCACGATGTCTCTTCTGATCTCCACTCCTAACTAACTCCTTCCCCTTTCTTGCACCTAACTCTCTTTCCTCTCTCGTATCGACGCGCCTATTATAATACATATGTGTATTTTTTATTTAAAAAAAAAATTTTAATTTTAATTTTTAGTACATACCTACATAAAATTTTATTAATACGTTTTCGCGATATAATTTTAATTATTCTATTTATGTTATAACAGAGCATGAGCATAGGAGATGCAGTATATCATTTGAACTGGCCTTCGCTATCAGTCAGAGAAAAGAAAGAACTGTTGATGATCATGATACGTAGTACAATTCCTATAAAGTTCACTAGCAGCTTCTTGATAACTTTATCTCTTCAATCTTACAGCAATGTTAGTGTTATTGTTATATACTTTAATGTCAAAATAAATATTTAATAAATTAAGAAAATATATTGTTTATATATATAGCGTACGAAAATACAGTCGGAACCTTTCATACACTCATAATCTTCTATACATTAAAGTTTTTCTAATTTTTCTTTTTCAGATCTTAAAAACGTCGTATTCAGCATTTAATTTATTACAAAAATAAAGTAACCAAAAATGTGTTTGAGCAAATAATGATATGTAGTTTTTGATAAATAAATTAAAGGTTCTAAATGTTACAATTTCTGCATTACAAAAGTAAAATAATCAAAAATGTACTTGAACAAATAACAATTTGTAGTTTATGATAAATAAATTAGAAGCTCTAAATCTTATAATTTCTGCTTACACACATATTTACTTCGGCCATATTCCCTATTTTCATTCCCTCTACATACTATATATATACATGTAAAACAATCTAATACATACACTAACAAATATTTTATTGTACAACATAACAAAACAGAAATTATTTTAAATCAAACGTTAAATGAACATGAAAAATGTAATTTCTTCATGCACGTTACCTGCAACATTTTTTTGCGAGCGTCAGAAGTAAGCCAACTCACTCATCATACTTGGAGAACAAATGTGCGGACAGTTTATAGCTTGGAAAATATTTAGACGCCGTTATACGTTACCACTTTCTCTCTCATCACATTGTTCTATGCCATATTGCTTTTATGCCATAAAATAAGACTTTATCGTACGCAGGAATTAATACGATCTTCCATTGCTACCACGATGACTTGAAAAAGCACACAAATATTTCATTCGATGGGAATGTGACAATATGCGTAAAAGACTGTAAAAGACTGCATCAGTCCCCTGCAAGTAAGAGGACATTTATAATTATATAGCATTTACATGAAACGGAAAACAACGTACGTACATTGTAATGAACGACTTCATGCTGGTTAATAAACGACTAATAAATGGCTAATGAACGCAATTAATGGTACTAGGGTTAAGAAGTTGGAGCAAGGAAAACTGTATATAGTCTACTGCGAGACGTGTTCGATTACACATTCAGTTGAAAATTAATTATCTCTCTGCTATACAGTGAAATAAATTAATAGTCACCTATTTGCAGTATCTATTAACTCTAGGTTACTACCTTTCATTTATTTTCGTCGTTATTATAGACCTGTGAAAGACCCAGAGCACTTTTATTTCCTCATATTTTAGACAAGCATTAATATTTTCTGCATATTTTTTTAAATCTAAACGTTAAAGTCTGCTTAAGTAAACTACGTAAGTTATATTTTGGAGTCATAAATAAGAATAAAAATATTCTTCTTAAGAAATTCTTTTTAAGGCAAAAAAGAATTTTTTGTATAATGAGAAAAATCATCTTACTGCTTGGTACTCTCAAATCTACAGTGTAGTAACCCAGAGTTAATGTGCTATTGTATTGTCAATTGTATCAACTGTGAAAAATAACATTTCGAACAAAAATGCGTGACAAACACTACTTGCCTTTTCCATTTGCATTGACATATCACGCATATCGTTACAGTCATTATGTCAAAAAATATATATTTCACAGTCAAATAATATATATTTTTGATTCTCAATTCATAATAACGTTATATGCGATCTGCGTGTTAGAAGAACAAAATTAATAAAGAGAGAAAAAGAATGAAAAAACTTTTTGATAGAAATTTACAATGGACGGAGGAAGACGAATTGTAGCCATAATTGTTGCTTCGTAAATATTTTTGTCGCTATAATGATTGTTCCGATAACGATTATAAGAAGAAATAATATTTGCTATAATAGTACGTAAAGTGTTTGAACGAAGTGTTTATATTTCATAGAATCATAGTTTGAACTTACAAAGCGAGTTACGACGTTGAATCACGCTTATTTTAGAGAGAGAGAGAGGGGGGGGGGAATGCTGAATAGATTCATCATTTAAGCTTTCTAATTTGCTGCTTTTAGCATTAAAAAATCATTTACATTTCTAAACTTGAGCTTTTCATTCATCAATTATATAATTGACTTGATCTCTCTTTTTCGGGAAATCTGGAATATACTTATCCACTTATCCTCCTTCCGTTGGGGAATAAATTTTTTTCTTTATAATTTAATTTGCAGGTAAGAAGATTAAACGTATCGAAACTTTTACTCTTCCACAAATGTACGTTATACGACAATTTAGCTATTTTTAAGAACGTGTCATTATCGCGCAACAATTATTAATGGCATTATTCATTAATATTTATAAAACATATTTGCGTTCCGATTCTAAACAGCTCTTCTTCGTCTGTCAAGAATAAAGCTTGTCACGGCCAGATAAAGAATGAAAATTGGTGCTTAGTGTGAGATGCAAATGCCGTATATGAAACGTATCTATCACACGTACGATATCCACACGGTATTTTTCACACACATTTACTTATAGTGTATCTATTTGATATCGAAATTGATTTTTCTCAAAAGGATTGCCACACTGCTCGCACGTCTAATTTGCAACAATTACTTAATATTCTAGAGAAGATAGTTGATAGTATCTTTGAAATATTTTGTTAAATATTGTGGAGTTGTGGTTACGTAGGAAAGTATTATAATATCGTGTACGAGTTATTTGTAATCATGCAAATACTATCTTTCAATTTTTTAATGTATACCTTCGCTGGCATATGGCGGCCTGTTGAATGGTCATCGAATGGGGCCAAGCTGCTGTATAACATATTTACAAGTATTGTACTATTGTTGGAATATTTTTTGATGCTAAGTCAATTTATGGATATCCTGCTTATGATGGATAATATCGATGATTTCGTAACAAATTCCTTAATATTTGCGGGTGTCGCTGTTGTCACATGCAAAACCACTCTCGTTGTGATACGCCGGGATGCTATCATTAATTTGGTGCAAATATTGTTGACGGCACCTTGTAAACCTCGAAATGAGGATGAGAAGATGATACAAACGAAATTTGATGAGTTTATCAGGTCAATATATGTACAAATGGATTTTAAATTGTCATGAAAATACAGAAGTTTATAGAATATAATTCTAATCTTCTACATTGTCTGTATTTGCAGGTCGTGGTCAATGAAATATTTTCTTTTGGCGATGAGTTCTCTTACGAGTGTAACAATAAGATCGGTACTAAATGTTATACAGGGTGAATTACCTTACAGAGTATGGGTGCCATTTGATTATAACATACCTCTAGTGTTCTGGATTGTATCCATTCAGCAGACCGTAACTATGATTTTCGCCACTATCATAAATGTCGGCACGGAAACTTTAGTTTTCGGATTGTTTTTGCAAACGTGCGCCCAGCTTGAAATTTTTGAAAATCGTCTACATAAATTGGTAACTAATAAGACAACCAAATATATAGAGCATTCACTTGCATCGTCAAGTGCAAGTGAAAATAATAATGTGATGATATCGGAACATATACGTCATCACCTCAGCATTTACAAGTTAGTCGCAGAAAGATATTATATATCTTGTACGATAGCGTGTTCTACTGTGCATTCTGTTGTTCATATTCTTAAATGTATATTTATCTGTTTAACAAATTCACAATTATAAATGACTCGTGATACCATAATCAATAGTTTATGATGATGAAAACAATTGATTGAAAGTGAATATTCATGGTTATAGATATTTAAAAAAAAATTGTTTATCACACAAAACATATATATAATATCTAAAACTAAAATATAATACATTTTTTTGAAGTTATCAGTTATAATTGCTAAGAAAAAGATAACGTTTCCAAAAAAAATCTGAATTTGCTTACATAAAAAGGATTATATAAAAAGAAAAAAGTTCGAGTTTCCCTGACTCTTAATATTTTTACGAATTGAGAAATCGTATGTAATAAGATGTCTGTATCATTAGAAATACAGAATTAAAGAAATACATAACGTCATTACAGATACGCCGAAACGGTGAACGTTATATTCAACGAGGTACTTTTCATGCAATTCTTCGGCAGTATCTTGATATTATGCACAAGTGTATTTTACATGTCGGCACATATTTCGGAGTCTGGAACTGCGCCTTTGCTGGTATACACCATTTGTATGTTTGTACAAATTTATGTTTATTGCTGGTCCGGAAACGAAGTCATGCTCAAGGTAATTAACTTATTTGTATTCCGCAATTTATTCTCAAAAGAATACTTTACAACAAATAAAACAAATGTATATTAATTATAACTATATTCAACACATCGTACACAAGTATCAATTAATTTATGTTGTTCATACTCGAGGAAATGATCAATTGCTCTCAAATCTATATCATTCTGTCGTCGTATAAAAATTATAACAACTCTTTAAATTGCGCTGTTAAATATATGTATACGTCTACGCGTACGTGAGTTGATTAACTTAAATCGACAGTAATATTGACTATTTGCAATGATTACATATAAATCAAGTAATAAAAATCAATAGAGGTGCATACCTATAATCGAGGGTGCGACTAAAAATATTCTTTTCGGATACGTGCAGATCATAGCGCAAGAAATATCGGTGTAAATTTTGTCTACATAATAATGGACATATCTCTTTAAATTTACTTCATAAGAAGTGTGTGTTTTGTTTATATGTATAGGGTGTATAGGAGTATACTAAAAATTTTAAAAATACTAAAAACTAAAATAAATACCAAATATTTATTACTTACTAAGCTGCGCCTGCACCTGCAAGTCTGCCGCGCAACTTGTTATACTGCCTAATATGCATATATGTAACACCCTGTACATATATATAATTCAAAAAGAGATTTTTAATAATTTTTATTTTTAATACATATGTAATTTTATTCTTATATTTATGTTATGACAGAGCATGAGTATAGGAGATGCAGTATATCATTTGGACTGGCCTTCACTACCAATAAGTGAAAAGAAAGAATTGTTGATGATTATGATACGTAGTACAATTCCAATAAAGTTTACCAGTAGTTTTTTGATAACTATATCTCTTCAGTCTTACGTCAATGTTAGTATATATTACTGTCACATTTGTGTAACGAAATAAATACTTGATACGCTAAAAGAAAAATTTAGTTTTCTATGAAAAGCACGGATGCCTGTCATACCTAAATTCACGAAAATAGTAAAATATGACTTAATTAGTGTCGGAATCTTTATCAAGCGCGCGTATTATTTTTATTACATTACTTATAATTTTTCTTTCAGATGCTGAAAACATCATACTCGGCATTTAATGTGTTACAACAATCCTAAGATACAAGTAATCGAAAATATGTCTAAATATGTATAATAATATAATTTATAGATTTTTTGATCGAATTAACGGTTATGAGTCTCAAAATTTGTTCTTATATATTCTTATATTATTTTCTGTTCGCGAAAATGCACCATAATGTAAGAATACTTTATTATTTATATCTTTATTTATTTACAATTATTTTATTCATTCGATTTTTATGTTTTAAATGGCTGCAGAAATATAATGCACATCAATAAGTATGTAATATATGTGCTAATTAATATAATGCTTAAAAGATTAATTTATTATAGTCTCTGTAACATTCATTGGATATATATAATTTTTCCTAATTAAAATAATTTGTAAACAAATATAACGCAAATATACGCGCGCGTGTAACGAATTTTTGCTCAGACACTTGTTCCACTTGACGTAGAAGTCCCATATACATTATATTATATAAAATTCTTATTGTTTGTATTTTATCTCTTGCAGATATAAGTATTAAGATTTTATAAAACATAACTGATAATATATTTCCATAACTTCATGTTTTATAAAATCTTTATATATCTGCAAAAAATAAAATACAAATAAAAAATTTTATGACTTATATCAAGAATGTAGATTGTAGCTCCAACTCGCTCCCGCTCTAAAATGGAGGACAGTGTAATAAAAATAGATATCGTTGATATACGTTCAAGTCATACTTATCACATTTAATTCCCGATTAAATTTGTATTAAGGGGTTAGTATACCCTGACGAGGTAAAAAACAAGCTAATTTTTAGGAATTTTTTTCTGGCAAAATATGAATAATACATAAAATTCGTTTAAACCATTATTTTTACTATAAATTCAAGTGTCCAAATAAATTTTTT